CTCGCCGACAACTTTCCGGAGGATTCTCAGCTTCCAGTCGAATCGTCGGACGAACAGGACATTTCAGACCAAGACACGGTTGTTTACGGAGACGAAGAACTGGAACAGCAACTGGACGACTGGCTGTTCTCGAAAATGTTGAAGTACAACCCGTCTTCGGAATAGAATTTAAAAAAAAAATATTCCGATATAATAAGTACTAAAGAAAAAAGAAAAACACGAAATATTATATTCTGTTTTGTCTTCAATAAAATCTTTATTACAAAAAACAATATAAAGTTGCTATTGTGCATATTTGTCTTCATTCGAAATCAGTCTATTATCAGTAGGTAATGCAAAAAGAAATTATGCAGAGAACCGCTACCTTTCCAAAATTTGAAGACGAAGAAGACAGGGTGAAAACCTTTCGCAACTGGCCGCACGACAGACCCGACGGAAGGTCGATGTCGGAAGCGGGGTTCTTCTACGGGGGTTTTGAAGATAACGCCAGGTGTTTCTTCTGCGGAATATCGCTGAACCACATATTCTATTCTAACATTTTATTAGTTTTAAACATAATAATCAAGATCGAAAGAAACAGGTCCAAGCCAACCAGAGGATGAACGTCATGGCGAGGTCGTCACGCACTCCGACAGATTTTCCTTTGACCGTTATCTTTCCGTCGGACCGCACGAGTCGTCTGAAGTTTCGTAGCTGATCGTGCAAAGTCTCCATCGAGGCGACGTCGATATCTTCGGGGAACGCGACCCGATCGTTTTCCAGCAGCAACTGAGAGAGGTGCACTAGATTGCCCTTGTCCCTCGTCCACAGTCTGACGCACCTGGCGCCGTCCTGTCTCGTCTCCTTCTCGAACGAGACGTCGACGGACGTGCCGGCGAACCGATCCGTCACCTGCTTTGCCATCATTGCAGCGTGGGCGAGCGAAGTGTTCCGTTCGACGTGCACGCGAACGGGCCAGCTGATCAGCGTTCGGTACGTGGACAGGACTTCGTTCACGGTGTCGACGACGAGGTCTGCGTGCACATCCAACAAGGAATCCATGCGGTCGACTGTGGCGACCACGTGCTTCATAGCTAGAATCTGCGAAAGAGACAAGAAAACGGTGTTAATAAAAACGGAGCAACTTCTCTGGTTTCTAACTAATTTGCGTTAAAACATGTTGAAGAGAGCTTTCCATCCTGTGGAGTGCGACCTGAATTTCTTGCGAGAACGCAAAGACCTCTTAGTCCGATGGAAGAGGGAGACCGACGCCAAGGCGATAACGGCCGAGATAAACGCATCGGGTTTGTCGCACGGCGAGCTCGTTACGAGAACCTGCGGCAGAGACAACTTTATGGACGCGAACGCAACCGTGGAGGACATGACGGAATTCAGAGCGAGCAGATCGGTTCTGATTCACACCCTGACCGCAGTCGGGGCTGCCACCTCGCCGGAGATCGGTCGGCTCGAGGAGATCGCCAACCTGGGAAAGACGGTGCTCATGTCGTTCGAGCTTGCCAACCTCGTGTACGTGCCCGGCGTGGAAACCGAGTACAGGAATTCGGAACCGGAGGAAAGACACTGGATAATAGATAGCGCGAAGAACCTCGCGAACCAGCTGCTTACCAACAGCTACGATCAGCCGCTGTGGAACTCGATCGGAGGTTCGCCGATGGCCGTGGCCGTGTCCGTCCTTCAGACGCGGGTGTCGAACGCCGACGCCGGCGAACGGGGCACCGCGATCTGCCGAGGTCCGCGAAACCACGAGACGTACGCACTGAGAAGGATAACGGAGAAGAGAAGCAGGGCTTGCAAGATACCACCCGTGAGACTCACCTGTCTGAGATTGCCGTCGGACGTCATCGCCCCCGCGACCAGACCTATGCCGGACACGTCCGACGGTGTGGGATCCACGGCGATCAGCAGACCGGATGCGAATCCGGATCTCCTGCCGGACCTCCGTTCTTCGTCGAACAGCCGGGAGAGCAACCTTCCTGAGAAAAGACGTTCTGCGGTTCCTGGGACCAGTGCTCGCTGGAGGTCATCGACGACGTGAGCAGAACCGACACTTTCTTCGGTTGAAACACGGGCAAGGTGGATATCATCGCCGCTTGCTTCATCCAAGGGTATTCGTCCATCCATCCGAGGTCGCAGCCGGTTCCTCTGGAAGCCTGAAACATATAAAAAAGAGGCATTTAGAAGAAAAAATTATGAAGATGGCTGCGGCAGCGCTCAACGCGTACGTGACAGCGAAACGGTACAACATCTACCACGTCGACGAACTTCACGAATGCGTGCGGATTCGCGGAACCGCTGCAGGACGGTACCCACTTCGTATGCGAAAAGTCTCTCCGGGTCCACGTCTGCGCGGCCGACGAACGAATTTGCGCGATCCAGCATCTGGATCACAACGTCAGAAGATGTTCGTTTACCGGCAAGGAGTTCTACCTGAACGATTACGAACCGGAGGTTGTGGGACGCGACTTGCCGCTGTTCGTGGGACAGAGACGAGACGCTTCCAGGACGCGGAGTAGGGACGGCGCCATGGCACGTTTCGCGGACGCGGTTGACAGGGTGTTGAGAAATCTCACGAACCGAGAAAAACGACGTGAGTACAACCGCGCGTTCTTCGTGAAGAGAGGACGGGACATCGTCGCGAGAAAGTTGGAGAGGGAGACCAAGTTGATGCAAGCTCTGAGGGAATCGTTTCTGGTGCACGTCTCTTCCGAAAGGTTACCGGACGAGGGTGCTGCGATCGACGAATCGTTTCTGGATGACGTCAAGCAGTTCGTGTGCAACCTGATGACGCTTCTGCTCTGCTATTCCGAACAGACTGAATCGAAGAAGCATTTTTTGCTATCGAACTCGGACGAAAGTACTTTGTACCTGCTCAAGAGGACCGTGTACGGCGTTCGTTTCGAGAACTCCGTCGTGCTACTGCCTAGGTTCCATCGGCTGCGACCACTTCCCGGAGATCGGCTGCTGCCTCGGATATTCGAGGTGAGCACATCCCGTGTGACGGAATGTTCGAGTCTGCTGCAGCGGATGATGGGCGAGAATGTGTGCAGGTTTCGGATGAAACAATTAAATCGTTAAAAACTTTAACTTTTCGTCTCTGTTTCTTTCTTTTTGTCAAATTGTCATTCGTGTGCATGCGCGAAGATGCTGCTGCAGCAGCTGCTGCTGCGGAGGCGGCGACAACGACCTCGTTGTTCTCCGATATTCCACGTGGCGCCGGAACAACCGAATCAGGTTCCGTTTTCTTGGACGATCTTCTAAACGTTTCCGGTTCCACGTACCAAGAAGTGAGGCGGATGCGTTTGCTAGCTGACGAGCGCCAAGACATCTTGGGTTGCCCGGCCGAACGCAGGTTGTCATTAATGACAAGGACGAGCAATCTCGCATGAACGACAATTACGAGAGGCGCGTTCACGCGCAGCTGGCCGACCCCGAACTCACTCCGACGGGGTTGATGCGCATGGTTTCCACGGCGTACAGATCCGGATACGCACCGTCGGGTTCGTTGATGGGTCTGTCCCCTCAGCTGGTGCGCGTCAACGGATTCGAACGTCGATTCGTCGACGCCTTCGTCTCCGGAACCGTGTGCGGCGAAATGGAGACCGACCAGGAGAAAGATTTGTTCGAATGCCTGTGCAGTCTGCTCTCCCTGCTGGCGAAAATTCTCGAGACGAACGAGTACAGCGAGATGAAAGAGAGCGTGAGAACCATGTGCGACTGTCTGTTTCTCGGCGGTAGCTTTCTGAACTCGAAAAAAGAGAGAAAGCTCTTCACCTTCAAGGAAGGCAAGCTGATACAGAACAAAATCGCGTACGCGCGCGATCTCAAGAAGATGATAGCCGTGTCCGGCATCGAGTCGCCCTCTCCTTATATCGGCGATACCAAGCCGTACATGCAATTCGGCAAATACTATCCGGACACGAGGTTGACGGCGAAGGAGTTCTGTCGAAAGCTGTTCACAAGTTCCCGCGAAAGTTGATGTTGAAGAAGGATACCGGTCTCGACGACGAAGACTTCGAAAAGCTCGTACGTGCGTGCTTTTTCGTGAAGAACGTCGAGATCGGAACCACGTACCGATTGTTGCGGTACGTGGCCGATATCGAGTTTAGGAGTCCGGCGTTGCATCTCGTCTTGATCTGTCTCGTGTACAGGCGCGTCGTGCACCACCTCGCCGCCGAGAACCTCCCTCTGCGACCATGCACGTGGACTCTCCTCTTCGGACGCAGCAAGGAGATCGTCGAACAATGGAGCGACGAAAGGATCGAAGCCGAGATAGTCAACGCCGAACGAGTTTGGGAGGACAATCTCCTCGTCGCGGGACACGCGCAATACCTGAACATAGGAATGAAGGAAGATCGTGCGAGCGTCGCGTGGCTGAAGTAGACGGCGGAGGTGATAGAGTCGGAGTTCGCGAGTTTCGAGAAGGTGGCGTTGGACGTGGATTTCGACCGACTGTTCGGATCC